GCTCTGCGCTGGATGCGGTCAAGTGGAAGGAGCTGGCACTGGGGAGCCCCTGCCCAGAGATGGGAACAGTATTCCATGTGAGGCCGAACCTGCGCCTTGTAAAGTTGCAGGCGGTGTGCCGGCATGAAATACTGTCCCGCTCTGCTGAGCACGCCAAGCTTTTTAGAGGCCAATTTGGCCTTCTCTTCCAAGTGACCACGAAACTGCACGTCACTCGATATGTCGACTCCGAGGATACCGATACTGGCTGAGGCAAGAAGGGGAGTGCCTTGAAACTGAGGAGATACGACAAAGGGGTTCTTTTTAGCGGTAAACGCGCAAACTTGTGTCTTCTGAGGATTAAACTGGACTAGGTTTAGTCGCCCCCAATCCGAGACTTTGTCCAGCAAAGACTCGACTTCAGACACAAGTTTGTTCCGGTACTCGGCGACGTTTTCCCGAGAAATATTGGCCCGGCCGGTGTATAGAGCATCACCAGTGCTGTCATCCGCATAGCAATGAATGTTACCAGTTAGCAACATATCATTGATATGCAGAAGAAACAGCGTTGGTGATAGCACACAGCCTTGTGGAACACCAGCGTTAATAGGCTTGTAGTCAGAACATGCACCGTCTACAACGACCTTGATGCTCCGATCTGCAAGAAAGCTGGTGATCCAATTGCACAATTTCTCGGGAAGCCCATAGGATTATGCGGTATTCTTATTGTACGGGAAATTGAAACAAAGCGAGGCCATGTTATACTGGAAATGTATAGCTTGATGTGTCGCCGAGTGTACTTACACACACGAGTTGGCCGACTCTGAGTGACAGTTATTTTTATTTGCGACATATTATTTTTTACATGGAAAATTATTTATAACATTATAAAATTATTTATAACATAAATAATTTCTTTAATATATTATATTTATAATTATAACATAAATAATTTCCATGTCAAAAATAGCGCACGTACGATACCTAGTTTGGTAAAAAACAACACACACAAATCTCCGAGGCCAAGTGGCACGTCTATACTAGACAAAGAGTAATATAATAAAATAATATGGTACCTACTAAATGTAGGCATGCAGAGAAATTTACAAAACTATAGCTATGCGCCATAGTAGCGAGCCCGTAAGTTACCGAATGCCAACCGAACACTAAGGCGCTGTCTTTATCTTTTCGCTTTGCCTCTTTTTCTAACATTGCGCTGGATGAAACAACAAGCTTTTTAACCATGCTCGCGTTGACGATAGACGGGCCGGGAAGGGCCCTCTTAAGAAAATATCATGAATAGCAACACAATAATCATCGATCTTCAAGGCTTCAAAAATATCAATTTAAATACTCTTTGTGAACTTTATTGTAAAGATACTTTACTGTATAACTGTTTTACTCATAAGAAAATATGTGCGTTAAAAATGTTTTATGTATTAAGAAATGGTGTTTTGAAAACAAAATGATTGTTTGATTTCCAATAAAATATATCTATGTGTTGTTGCTTTCAGTTAAAATCGAAAATCGAAATAATTAGTTTTAATAAATACATTCGTTGTAATAATAAATGCCTTATCTTTTTTCCTCTACACAATTGAATAATAATGATACACAATAAAACAACAATAAAATTCAATGTGTAACTTTTATTATATTTTACAAGCTACATTACTTAAATTACTAATTCTCACATAATTTTTCACCTATTTTTTTATAAGACAATTTGTAGCATCTAACACTTCATCATACATTGAATCCATCACAACATTTTGAACATATTAGCACTAAGATCGTGGATGACATTTTCTTCTTGCTCGTTAAGTTCGCAAATGCCGATTTTAATCAGACGATGACCTCGTTTATCTTTATCTCGGCGGATAATGTATGATGATGATGATGATGATTCATGAGAATGGTTTCTCTTCCTGTAAAATTTCTTTGATTTCGATTGCCGCTCTTCATTAATAGCTATTCTATTTGGTGGTAAATCGTGGAGCTGCTCCTTTCGGTTGTAATAATTTAGTGTAAATTTATCCACATCCTGTGCATAGTAATACGGATTAGTGATAGGATTAGAATCATTGTGTTCCTCAGTGTTGACCATGATCTGCAATTAACAAAAACAAGTATGAAGTCAAAAAAAAAGGTAATGGCGGCTGAATTTCTAAATAGTAAAAAAATGATTATACTCACCAATATAGATGATTAATGAAACAATTGAGGGAGGGTGGGAGACGCTCTTCAATCCAGGTAAGACACATCATTTTATTTAGTTAGCGGATGGATGCAAATTAATTAATATCTTTATTGTAATGAATTTTCGATGTTAGGTTTTGGGTCTTAGGTTTTTTTTTTCGTTACAGAATTTTTTGATTCGGTCGCCGCACTCAAAGCCCTCGATAAAAGCTATGCAATAGCTTAAAAACGTTTATTAGCACTAACCACAATGAAATTAGGCTAAACAATTTGTATTATTAGAAATTAATCATATAAATGCGGCAATACCATCAGTATCTCGCAAACGCTCTGAATATAATGCTCAATAACTCAACTGGAAGTGGAAGTACACTTGTTCCCGCAGGATAGAACTGTCAGTATGTAGACGTTAATTTGGTTAAACTAAAAATGTTGTACCTCTCTGGAGAGAATTGGGATCTTCAGTGGCATGTAGCTCAAGCGAATGCGAGAGCGAGTGACGCAGAAGCCCCAATTCACACCTACTGCCCCCATCATTTTTTTCTACTATTCTGGCTTGTGCACGAACTTCGTGTAGCCGGTTAAGGTAGTATCTTTTTCAAGTGAAAACAACTTGTGGTTACAAATTACCATATAAAATAAATCATTTGCCGTGAAATATTTTTATTGCATATCCACCCGGCTTAGCATGGGTGATTTCTTGATTTTGTTGCCAAAATCAAGAAAGACCAAGTGGAACAGACTCACAATTATAAAAATCTGCAAATGCTAAACCACCTGCCAAGCGTGGTAGCTGTGATAAAATTGCCTATGAGGCAATCTAGAGTGGAGACCTAGGTACAGCAATAGACTTTTAGAATGTAATAATAGAGTAGGAAAATAAATAAATTTACATTTTTGTTAGCAATAAAAAGTAGTTTAATTATTAAGTAGTTAATATTTTTATAATATATATATATATATATATATATATATATATATATATATATATATATATATATATATATATATATATATATATCTTATCGCGAACCTCCTACGATCGTTTAGCGAACCCTTAGGTGTTCACGTACCCCACACAAAAGTCCTGCTCTAAGCCATAAACAGAATCACAAACTAATAAGAAGGAACAGAATCACAACCTATATATGTAATAAAAATGGAACAGAATGTACCACAAAGACGGTACAACAAACGTAAAACCAAGGCAAGCCTTCGAGCATAGAAAATATGGATACATCTTTACATGCCCAGAATCTTTGAGCATAGAAAATAGAGGAGCTGCCCAAAGCGTCTATATTATGTTTCATTGGTTATACAAATATGGTTATATTCGACATTGAACTGTCAATATGCTGCCTATCTCTTTTTCACTCAGCGAAGTGTAAGTCTAAGTGTCATTCATAAATGAAACAGATAATAGAAATTGTTTCGTATACATGGTAAACATTTTTAAGATGATTGTTTCAGTTTTGCTGTTATAAATAGTTGTTTGATATTTCTTAATTTGAAAATTATGCGAATTTTTACAGTTTATGAAAGTTATTAGTGAATTTTCCAATTCATTATAAAGTACGAAGATGACTAAGTGTTGTGTAAGAGGCTGTGCCTCAAAATATTGTAAAAAATCACGCGAACTATCATTTCATAGTCGAGTGATTTTGTTTTTGCTGTAAATACAATGTTAAATAGTTTATTTCTTTCGCGACAATAAGTAGATGGATGTAATTATTTACCTTAAACCTTTAATTCATATTATTTAATTACTTTTCATCATTCTTTGCATAACTTTGCATTGTTAACATAAATTCTTTCAAATACTTTATTAAGGTTTTTATTGATTTATTCTGTCGTATTATACATAACGCACAATCTAGTGCCTGTAATCTCTCTCGGTAGGCAAACATGCAAATACCTCAGAGACTATGGACATTATTACTTGACAGCTGGAGAACCCACTTTTTTTATATATTATATATAATAGCCCATCCGTGCCGTCTTATAAAATCCGTTGCATTTAGAATTCATTGATTATGGTCCTCATCGTAGTAATGTAATCACTAAGTTAAGGAAGTCCGTATTGCACTGAATTAGTTTTAATTCATTATTGTAATTAAATGACATAGAGACATATTTAGTTGTTTTTAAAAAGCATCAGCAACGCTCCCTAAACTTTTATAAAGATTTTATAGAAATACAAAAATACTTGCATGACTAAATCGGCAATTTTTTGTTGTGGAGATTTTTTTAAATAATAATGTTATTTATAATTGATATCAGCCTCTATATATGTATATATGTATATATGTATATATATATATATATATATATATATATATATATATATATATATATATTGTCTCATGTGTCATCATCATCACCGATCGTATGCCCACCGTTGTGGTAGACAAATCAGTCTTAGCACAATTTAATGACATTTTTTTTTTTATTTATTCGTGACCATGGTTGCGAGGACCTTCAGTCGGAAACATTACAGTATAACACAAATCATACATCAAATTAAGAATATTTAACTTTAGCAATAACAATTTAGAATGGTTTTCCATCATTTTTCTACTTTTTTCCCTATTATATAAATATAGAACAGACTAAATTACAAAATAAGCTAAGAAGCTATTTACAAACATTATCAATTAATTAAGGACACATAAATAATTAAAGTTTTCCTACAGTATTAAGTATAAATTTAAATAGAGGCATGAAAAAAGCTACATCAGTTAATAGATCCTGAACGCGGCGGGGAACACTTATAGAATTTTCTTCAGCGACATCACTAATTTCACTGACAAGTGTCAATCTTTGAATCCCAAACGATGGGCACTGGAAAATTATGTGGTTTATGTCTGCATTATGTTGAGCGCAATGTGTGCATTTGTCATCAGCTACGATCTTCATTCTGTACAGATGTGCAGGGACGAGGCAATGGCCAAACCGCAAGCGGTTAATGGTCGTTATGAACTTTCGGCCTGTGTATTTAAAGCGGTTGTACCACGGAATCGTTGGTAAGTCTGGCTGTAATTCTGCGTACCATTTTCCCTTATTCACGGTAGTAATGTTCCAGTAATCCTTCCACAGTTTCTTTGACAAGATTTTAAAGTGTTGATAATAATCTGTGAAGGGGACTTTACAATCTTGTGTTTGGTCTTCGTGGTGATCTTGCCGCGTCGCCTGATCCACTATCTCATTTCCGACTATGCCACTGTGTGAGGGAACCCATAAGAATTCTATACATTTTCCAATCGTTTGCAGCTTATCCTTAATTTTATACAAAATATAATTCTGTTTATATACTAAATTACAGTTACATAAAGCAGATAAAACACTTTTAGAATCACTAACTATCAAGATATTTACACTATTTACATTGGTATTTACATACCACAAAGCAGCTAATATAGCCCAACTTTCTGCTGTAAAAATACTACAATTACTTGTCAACTTAATACATTTAATAACTTTCATTTGTGGGTCATAAAATGCTGCTTTAACAAGATCACTCTTGGAGCCATCAGTATATATAGTGTAAAAGTCTTTCTTTTCATTTAAAAATTCTAAGAATTCATTCTTAGTACTAACCGAATTTAAATGACATTTTATATCAAGATAATTAAGTAATGTATCATATGGGCATTTGTAAATAGGCCACTTGTTACTGATGTACATATCTCTTGTCTGATTCTTTACACAAGTTGTTATTGTTGTTATTTCAGGCAATGTACCCGAAATAAGAGTATTAGCCGAGATGTTGGCTGTTCCATTTAACTGGGAGACTTCTGCAGGATATAAAATATTACTCAGGACAATATCATTGTTACAAGACAACTCCTTCAAACAGAATCTTTCAGCCAACTGCAAACGCCGCAAGGACAATGGAGGTATGCAATTTTCAACTTCCATAGAAACAATAGGAGTGGTGCGCATGGCTCCACTGATTATTCTCAGACCCATATTCTGTATCACATCTAATTTTCTTAACAATGTGCTACTAATATTAATGTAAGCTAGAGAGCTATAGTCAAAGTGACTCCTTACAATACTTTTATACAGCATGCTAAGTGTTTTTGGATCAGACCCCCAAAAGGTTCCTGCTAAGCTTCTTAGTACATTTATGCTCTTCATGGCATTCTGACAGATATAGTTGATATGCTTATCAAATTTCAGTTTATCATCTAGCACAACTCCTAAAAATTTATGATGATTGGCTATAGGAATTGTATCATTATTATAGTTAATTTTAATTCCAGAGTTTACAAATTTGTCTTTACTGAATACTAAAACTTTACTTTTCTCAGAGCTTATTTCTAATTTTAAAATGTTGCTATAATAAAGATGCAATTGTGCCAATGCAGTATTAATTCTATTAATTGCTGTATTTATATTCTGGTTTTCACTGTATAAAAGTAAGTTGTCTGCAAACTGTAATATTTTAACTTGTGATGTATCTACATAATTAAGTATCTGAGATGTGTATAAATTATATAACAAAGGTGAAAGTGTCGCTCCCTGCATTGTTCCTTTGTTAACAGGCCTAGGTCCATGTAGTTTATTGTTAAATTTAACAAAAAGAGTCCTATCATGCAAGAAATTTAAAATCCAGATTAATACATTTCTTGGCAAGCTCAATTCATGCAAGACTTTTATGAGGCATTCAATATTAACATTGTCAAAGGCACCTTTAACATCTAAAAATACACATATAACATTAGAATGACTAAGTTTGGCCTTTTTAAGTTCCGATATCAGAGATACAAAGCTTTCAGAGCAACTTCTGCCTTTTCTGAATCCAAATTGTATGTGAGGTAGTTTATCCTGTGTTTCAGCAAAATAATCTAGACGCAACTTTAACATGTTTTCAAAAAGCTTACCTAAACATGATGATAAAGAAATAGGTCTGTATGATGATGGATCATTAGCAGCTTTATTTGGCTTTAAAATGGGGATTACACATTGGGTTTTCCATGACTCTGGTATAGCTAAATTATTCCAAAGTTTATTATAAATATTTAATAACATTTCTTGCGCATTAGGATGTAATTTTTTTATTAATATATATGGTATGCTGTCCAACCCTGGTGTTGTATCTTTCCTACTTTTGAGTGCTATGTACAATTCATTTAGTGTGAATGGTCTATTGAGAAATGAGTTACTTTCATTTTCAACAGATTGATCTAAAATATCATTCAAATAATCTTCATTTAACTGTGATGAGTCTGTTATGTTGTCTAAGAAGCTTGGTATCCAATCGTCAGCCAAATATCTGTTATGAGAAGAACCTATCCTTCTAAACCTTTTCATGTAGTTCCATATTCGAGAAATAGGTGTCATTCTATTAAAACTAGTACATAAATTGTGCCATGAATTAATACTTTCTTCTTTTAATATCCTTTTCTTTTGAGCATCAAGTTTTTTGTAGTTAATGAAATTAGGAATACTAGGCGATTTTCTATACTCTTTGAGGGCCTCCTTAGACTTTCGAACAGCATCATCACATGTTTGGTTCCACCAGGGTGCAGGTTTTCTCATTACCCTTAAAGTTTGTTGTGGTGTTTGCTTTGGAACAGTCTCTGCTCTAATATCATACAAAATATTTACAAAATTATTATACAAATCAATAGGTTCGGTACCATGTATTTCTAAATTACAAAATCTCGTTTTTGATAGTTCTTGATATTTAGACCAATCTGCTTTATTATAAATGTATTTTTCTTCCGCAGGACGCACTTCATATACAGAAGGCTTCACATTTAGAGCGACCACAGTTGGGTAGTGGTAACTGCCCATCGGGTCGTCATGGACGTGCCATTCACAAAGAGGAGCTAATGCGGAACTAACCAGAGCTAAATCTATTGCCGACTGATTTCTGTTAGGATACTGGACAGTTGTAGCTATGTCACCATCATTCAGAATACACAAGTCAAAGTCATCAATAAGTGCATATAAACTGTTACCTCTATTATTATTTGTCTGACATCCAAACAGGATATGGTGAGCATTAAAATCTCCCATAATAAGACATGGCTTAGGAGTTTCAAGTAGCACCTTTTTCATTTTGCTTGTAGCAGACCTGCTGCTATTGGGAGGACAATATACACATAGAATATGTAACTTACCCATAGTTGTGTCTACGGAAATGCAAATATTTTGCACAGATTCGAAAAAAGTTGTATTTACAATAGTGTATTTTAAGTTTTGTTTAATTAATATACCTACTCCGTTATGTTCATTTATTGAGTTTTTGTGTATAAAATTATAGGGTGAAAAATCGGGAATTGTACTAGTTGTTTTAAGCCAGGTTTCATTTAAGAGACAGATATCTATATGTTGTTCCGAAAGAAATTTTTTAAGTAAGGCCCTTTTGCTCTGTAAGCTCTGTATGTTATATTGTGCTATATTCAAATATGTATCCATTATATTATTAAATTACTTAAAAGTATGTCTTTAATTCTTTTATTTGTAATCGGAGCGCTGCTCTTGTCATTGCCAAGCATAACTAATGATTTGACTAGCGCATTAATAATTAACTCGTTGTTTAGTATTTGCTCAGCATTATATGATACTTTATTTATGTCAGTATCAACAGTCTTTACAGGTTTAAGGTTTGGGAATGCTTTCGGGTCGGGCATTGCTGGTATACTCACCACAGTGGCATACGATCGGTTTGGTTTTAAATACTTATTCTTCTTCTCTTCCATCTTTTGTTGCTTCACTGGACAGTTCCTAGAGATGGCCAAGTGACCACCATGACAGTTGATGCACACAATTTCTTCGACGTCGCATTCTTTGTAGGAGTGTTGTCCAGAGCACGAAGAACACCTTTGAGAACCTCGGCAGACTTTTGCAGAGTGATTAAACTTCAGGCATTTGTAGCACTGTAGTAACGGAGGTATGTATATGTGGACCGGGTATCTGAACATCTGTATGTAGGCGTGCTGCGGCAGCGCTGTTGCAGCGAAGGTCACTGCAATGGTCCCCAGCGGAGTGAGCTTTCCATCTACCTTTCGCATAAATCTCTTGACGGAGATGATTTCTGCATCGCAGGTAATGCTTTTGTATATGTCTTCATTGCTTAAGTCTTTAGGTACGTATCTTATGACTCCAGTAATTTCAGTGAGGTGCGCCGGCACGAATGCTTTCAATTTGTGTTTTCCTAGAAAGTGTGTCATGGTAAGGAAGTTATTGGCCGGTGCTGGTTTTCTGAACGTTATGCCCACTTTATATGCGTTCACTCTGTGGACGCCAGCGATTCCTTTTACATTTTCCGTAAATAACTTTGTAAGTGCTATTGGATTTTTGTTACCGATTTTTTTCGTTTTCTTGTGATTCAACGTAGACTACGCAGTCTACGCTGTGGTTTTCTGGGAATTGTCGCGTGTAATTTGTTTTTGTGAAAATTTTGTAGTCGACGGCATTTCCTTTGCGAGTATCATGCAATTTCGTTTTCTTTGATTCTTGCTCGGCGGGGGCCGGGCCCCCGTCGGAATCTGGACCCATTGTATTTACACTATATATAGGTATGTACTAATTAACTATTTACACGGAAATTTACAAAAAATATACAAAATAAAAAGAAATGAAAATTCAGCAAAAATTAAAACACCCGCTTAGCTTGACTTCCCGCCGAATCCTCACTCCTAATTTAATGACATAAGGCTCGCTGATGAATGTTACGGTGTGCCTAATAAAATTGACGTATTGATAGGCGCATCCCTTTTACCGCACTTATTGTGTCCTGACGGAATTCACTCCTCTAAAGACTTGTCTGGGCCCTCAGCTTTGAACACGCTGTTTGGTTACGTTATTATGGGTTCAGTACCGACACTTCAAATGAATCCGTCATTAAAGTGTTGTACAATCCTAGTCTCCCGCTATTGATAAATTAGTGCAACGATTTTGGGAGCTTGAACAGCCTCCCTCCGCATCGCCCATTCAGTGTCCTTCAGACATTGAATGTGAAGAGTTTTATAAGTCGAGTCGACGACATCCCGCGGTCCTGATAGTGGTAGATACATTGTTGGCCTACCATTTAAAGATGACGTTTTATTCTTACGAGACTGCTCAACGACGATTCATGTGCTTAGAACTTCAAGCGTCACCTATACTAAGGTTAGCATATGACGACGTCATAAAGGAATATTTAGCCAAAAATTATATCTCTCCTGCACCACCGTACGACTCTCATGACCCCGCTCCAATCTATGTAATCCCGCATCATGGAGTCTTACGCGAAGACAAGAAGTCGACACGTTTACGTATAGTCCTGGACACTAGCAGTAAGACTAGCACCGGTCGAGCATTAAATGATATACCTAGTCAGGTCATAAATTCTGTCATATGTTTAATATAAAATAATTGAAACAAGTTTATTCATTATGTAACCATTTATATATCAAAATGAACTTAACAAAACATAGATTCTTATGACACTAAAGTTTATTCAAAATGACCTCCGTGATTTTGAATACAGGCCTTCAATCTGCGCGGCCAGTCGTCTATCGCAGCACGAACGAGGTCCATGTCAATATCGGCGGCTTCCTTAATCAAGGATGTCTTGAGTGACTCCAAATTGGGATGAGGCTTTGAGCACGCCTTTTCCTCCAAGTGTTGCCATATCTTGTAATCTAATGGATTCAAATCTGGACTGGAGGTGGGCCAGTCTTCGTGCCGGATGAAGTCGATTTCACGCACCGTCAGCCAGTCTTGTGTGCACTTCGCTCTATGAGCTGGCGCCGAATCTTGTTGGAATACCCAGTGCCTGTTATTGAACATGGTATGAGAAACAGGTTCCACAAGGTTCGTCAGGACTGTATTTTGATACACAACTGCATTCGTTTTGACACCTTTCTCACAAAAATGTACCTCTGTTAAGCCCCAATAAGAAACTCCCAACCATACCATGAGCGAGGATGGAAAACGACCTCGTTGGACACGCGAAATACGGTTTCTCGCTTCTTCAGTACTGTGTGCGTACACCTTATCATTTTGTTTGTTGTAGCTCTCTTCCACGGTAAAAATTTTTTCATCCGAAAAAAGAATTTCCCGATATTTTTTCCCGCGTACCGCTTCAACAAAGCGCGGCATCTCTTCAGTCTCAGGTCCATTAGACGAGCATTCAAACGATGTCCTGTTTTTCTTCGATATGCCCGAAGCCCTAAGTCTTCATTTAACACCCTTTTCACCGTGGTTCTGCTTAACCCCATCTGAAGGGCCAACAGTTTCTGCTTACGTTTAGGATTTCTTTGAATTCGCGCCTTCACAGCTTTTATCACTGCTGGAGTCCTAACAGACCGAGGGCGACCACTTCTTGACCTGTCATCTACACTAGAGTCTTCATTGTATCGTTTGATGGTACGATAAACGAATCTTTTGGTTATATTCAAATTTTTCAGTATGTAAAAAATTTGAATTGGCGCGTAACCGCAACGATGCAACGCAATAACTGCAACACGGTCTTCTTTAAGCGTCCACTCCATATTTAAAAATGAGTAAAATTCTAAAAAGTATACCGTAAAACGGGGTGAATAGAATTCACGGGGTTAATAGAATAATTATTGGGAATTTCGAAAAAAGGCTATGGCATAGACAATTCTTCTTTGATTGTAATTTTTTTATCATTTTTACATAGAGCAGCATTCTTTTTTTAACTTGGCAACATTTGATTAACCTGAAGTTGATAACCATTAAGAAAAATATAACTTCAAACAGTAACTGTCTCACCAGTGTGATTTGTGCTGCTCGAAACTTTCCTATAAAATTAATTATATTGGTGGTTTTGCTAAGAAAATCTATTCGTGTAGTAGTTTGGTGTCCTGTGCTTATTTTACAAAAGTAAGTTATCCAAACAAATTAGTTTTAGCTGATATGTTTAGTAAAAAGTGTATGAGTCTACATTTTTGTTGAATCAGAGGTGAATAGAAACGACTGAGGGGTAAATAGAAACGCAGTATGGGGTGAATGGAAACGAGAAAGGGGTGAATAAAGACGAGTAAGGGTTTAATAGAAACGAGAAAGGGGTTAATAGAAACATAATTGTTAGGGATGGCACTTTATCATAGATAGATATTATATTTGTACTTATGTTTTTATTTTTACACAGGTGATTTACGACGTTGAAATCAACATGCCACGGGTTTATAAACCTGATCCTCGCGGTAGGAGATATAAAAAATACGATACCAACATAATACAAAAGGCTGTAGATGAATATTCTGAAGGCGGCAGTTCATTGGATACAATAGCAAAAAAATATCAAATACACCGATCGGTTTTATATAGACATTGCCATAAAACGATGAAAACTCACGGAGGTCAAACTGTGTTGTCGAAAGATACAGAGCAGGAATTTATAAAATATATAAATATTTGTGCAAACTGGGGTTATCCTCTAGAAGCGTATGATTTACGATTACTTGTAAAACTATATCTTGACAGATTGGGCGTTAATGAAAAACGGTTCAAAAATAACATGCCTGGACCAGACTTTGTTGCTAGTTTTTTAAAAAGGCATAGAGACGTTATTTCTCACAGGATATCTCAAAATATCAAAAGAAATCGAGCTGCGGTTTCTGAAGAAATAATAAAAAAATATTTTGAGGAATTAAAGATATCATTAAATGATGTATGTATGTGTAACGTAATAAACTACGATGAGACTAATCTAGCTGATGATCCGGGACGGAAAAAAATTATAGCCAGAAAAGGCACTAAGTATCCGGAGCGCGTCATGAATCATTCAAAATCTGCCGTTTCAGTTATGTTCTCTTGTACTGCTGAAGGAGATTTATTGCCCCCCTATGTCGTTTACAAATCGCAGAATTTGTACGACACTTGGATAAGTAAAGGGCCAAAAGGGACGCGGTACAACCGATCGCAATCAGGATGGTTCGATGGACCAATATTTGAGGATTGGGTAAAATCCATAATCATACCTTACTTTCAAGGGAAGTCTGGCAAAAAAATCTTAATTGGTGATAACTTGTCATCACACCTTTCTATTGACCTCATAAAATTGTGCTATGAGGAAGATATTCATTTTATATTTTTGCCAGCAAATTCAACTCATATCACACAACCTCTCGACGTGGCTTTCTTCAGGCCGATGAAAATGGCATGGAGAAATATAATATTTCAATGGAAAAAAACGGACGGTCGCAAACTAGCCACAATTCCTAAAGGGTATTTTCCGACATTATTATCCAAATTAATAGACACTCTCAAAGTTAACGCCAAAGAAAATATTTTGGCCGGTTTTAGAAAAACTGGTATAAATCCATTTGATCCTATACAAGTTTTAAATAGACTACCTGAACATGAAGATAATAAGCACCGCATCGAAGCTGTAAATGAATCTGTTCTAGATATACTGAAAGAAATGCGTTACGGAACCACAAACGTTGTTGAACCGAAAAGAAAGAGAAAAATAGAAGTAGAACCTGGAAAGTGTGCAAGTGTTGAAGAAAGTTACGTTGAAACCGAAGTTGAAAACAGAGAACCAAAGAAGAAACAAAAAAAGACTGAGAAACGAGTAAAGGATACTAAAAAAGATCAGAACGAATGTAATAATGAACAAAGTACATTTAAAGGAAAGGGAGTAGGAAAAAAAACAAAAACGCCATTAAATGCACCTATAGTTGAAAACGAACCAACTTTGACTGATAATTACCTAGGCATAGAATCAATGCCGGTTGTAATGTTTGGAGATGATATTGTAATTGACCATACAGAAACAGTAGAAAATGATAATAAAAACTATTCTGATAATACGATTTCGAATAATGAAATTAAAGAAAGTGACAAAGTTAAAATATTGTCAGATATATCCATAACTAATTCTAAATTGGTAAAAGACACCATATCAATTGGTGCTTTGAAATTAATCCCGCCAAGCACCAAATTGAAAATCATATCAAAGGCTGCAATAGGTAATAAGCAGAACATCATTAGAAATCAACCAAAGAAGCTAAATTACTATAGGAATGACGAGGAAATTATTTATGAATTAATGAAGGATTAGGTAAAGTTGCGAATCTTGTGTTTTGAGTGCAATTTATGTTTAAATGTTGTTATTAGATGATAAGACGCGTTAAGTTTTTTTTATTAGTCTATTTTTATTAACTTTGCGAAAGCTGTTGACTGGATTCTTCCGTTGCTACTGAGCACTCACATGCTAAAGCATGTGATTGCTTATGGTTTTTCAGGTCTTACATCCATGTGAAAGAGTTTTATAATCGTGGATTTCATAATATGTTTGTGAAAGTTAATAAATTATTGTTTATGTTTGTTCATAGATTGATATCAAGTTAAACCTTATTCTATAATAATATTATTATTAATAAATTTCATTCAATGTTTATTTTTATTTATGTCACTCGGTAATTGTTGTTCTATCCCGTCCCGTTCCCCTAGTAAAATGGTGTTTGTACCTATTTATGTAGTTAACTTCCATAACAAAATAAGTAGATACCTAAGGTATTGGTTGACAACCCTATTGTTTTTCTCTATTCGCCCCTTTGTCGTATCCATTCACCCCGTATTCCAGGTAAATAGAAA